TCAAGTATAGTGTTTTATATCTTGGTAACAAGAAGTATGTACTTCGTCTTGTGGGATAAATGGACGTCGTTTCCGGTTGGCGTCCTCTATAGATGGGAAATCTAGCTAAAGGGGATGTAACAGCATAGTAGACCTCCATATCGAGTAAATAAATTATTATTTCTTACTTACACTTGCTATTATGTTTTGTTTATTTCTTTTTCTGCGAAAATAACTACTTTTAATCATATAAAACAAATCTGATGTAAATAAAAAAGTTTATGGTCGGTGACCTTTAAAAAACAAGCCACATGCAGGTAGCATGAAAGAAAATACATAGTTTATAAGTGGTGACCAATTATGCTGTGAATGTATTGAATATCTAGGAATTCCATGATGCAAATAGAAAACTTCCATATGTTACACTCAGAAACAACAACATACAGACACTTATCGATTATTTATTTCTATCGATATTCCTCAGTTTCAAATATTACAGTCTCTACGTGGGAATATACGTTAGTGTGGCACGTTACAAATAACTGTTGGATTCATCATCTAACGGACCCGCTTGATCCATCAACACGTGGTCCAAAATGTTTAGGTAAAATCAGAACTGGAAGATCAGACTGGTTGGTAAATAATGGTCTAATTGCTAAAGGCTATTTGTAGTCTAACCTATAATGATGAGAATATGTACATTATAATATTGCTAAAGCTATTTATAGTTTAACAGAGAATGATGAGACTATGTACTAAAGGCTACTTAATGTTTAACCTAGAATGACGATATTAATTGTACAATTGCTAAACGGGATTTCATTTCTAACATATAATGACGAGACTATCTTTATTTTACAATTGCTGACCAAACTTTAAATCCGAATGTCTGTTTTGCTCTAACAGCTAGTCATAGTCAAAAGATTTGTTTGGAGAAGGATTTGTTTAAAGTCTTTGTTTTCAACTGGCTTTTAACAAGTTCATCGAACTTCAAGGTACTGAAGGTTTTACCTCTAACGTTATGAAGACCAATACAGATATATTTTTGAAAGAATTCATATAAGTCAGTTTCCATTTTTAACAAATGGTTATTGCCAAAGGACCATTAGGTATATAGTGAAAATAATATGAAAATTGCTCCAACGATGTTAAGAGATTAAGATTGAAACTGAATATATGATACATATGTGAATATGTGATACAGGTTAATGCTTAGAGCGCCGTTCTCGGATGCCGGAAGTTTCAAATCCTGAGTCATACCAAACTTATAATTTTTATTTTTATAAAATGATCGCGTTTTATTCACTTCATTGGATCTAGACGATCACGTAGTACTGATCTGGAATATTGTACACATCGATAATCTTCTGGCTGCGTTAGGTTTTCTGTTTCCGTGTCAGTGTAATAGCTAGGCGCTCAGCATTAAGAGGTTAGTGTTAGGACTTATCGGCCTGGTATCGGGACAATGTGACTGGCTGCTTTATGATTGCGGCATGATACCCCAATGTTGGACATCCCTGTCAACTGCCACACTACTGACCTTGTAGCGATAAATCTGAACAATTGTTAAATCTACGCAATAAATAAAAATCACAAAACCACACTCATTAAACTGTCAAAGAGCATTTAATAGTTCCATCAGGACGTAAGTTTTTCCTGAAGGACAGATCTGTATTAATGTATTAGCTGATTACCCCATAATAATAAGCAGCATGTCTTTGCAAAATGACATCTAATAGTTTATTACATGGGATTGCGTCAATGATTACAATAAGAGTTACGACTCTTAAACTGAGTAACAGAAAACAGAAGAAAAAAAACCCCGACAAATCCTTTTAAAATTCAACAAATAATTTATGTAAAACAAAATGTGCAATTAAATCCGAAATATTCCTAAATGATCTATCATAATTCAAATATATATTGTTTCAATTGAATTCAAGCTGTGTTCCAAACAATTTCCAATATTGAGAGGGTTCATGTGCATGTAGTCTAAAACGTACTAATGTGACAATGGCCTGGAATGTGGCAATTTAATAATATTTTAATGTATAAAAATAAAATAAATCCAAATATCTCTATGGGCGAGTTCACTTTAATTACAAATTAATGTTTTAGTCTATGAATTTTATTAAGCTCTTTGTACTTTAAGTGAATTCCATTTTAAATGAATAAATCCAAACGAAATTAAAATCTTAACAACACAGTAAGACTGATTCCGGTTCTTATGTTGAGGGAAGAATAAGTAATCTTTAGGTAAATAAACCGAATACCGCTCCACTTGACCAAGTTTGCAATTATCATTTTCTTGAAATGCTCTATATTTTCAATAGAAAACTTATTTAATGAACATTTTAAGGTCAGAATCCAGATCGTATCTTTAATACAAACTTAAGTAAACATGTTTATCATTAATCATGATCTGTATATTTAACGTCCAGCGACAGTGATTATTAGCTGCGTATTTTTATTGTGTACAAAAAGAATGTCACTCAATATGTACACCATTTACTTGGTTATGGGCAAAGATCAATTACAGACTACATATATTAGTAGCATGTAATTATTGACAAAATCTGTACAGATTTAAAATAGATGAGAAAAAACTCACGTTTATTTTATTTTAATCCCAGGCCAGATGCAGGTATTATATAAGGAAATACATAGTTGTCAATGCATTGAATATCTAGCGATTCCAGGACTCAAATAGGAAACATGCATATGTAATATTTAAAAACAAAACTTTATAGAAACTTATCATTATTCATTTCCATCTATATTCCTCAGTTTCAAATATCGGAACCTCCAAGTGGGAATGTTATTAAGTGTGGCAAGTTAAGTACTGTAATGTGATTCAGCATCTAACGGACCCGCTTGACAGATCAACACGTGTTCCAAAATGTTTAGGTAAAATCAGAACTGGATGATAAGACTGGTCAGTAAATAATTGTCTAATTGCTAAAGGCTATTTATAGTCTAACCTTTTATAACTAGATTATGTACCTTGTGCTATTGCTAAAAGCTCTGTAAAGTATATTACATAAAGACGAGAATTTATAATTTGTACTAGTGCTAAAGCTATTTATAATGAAACAAAAATGACGAAACTATAGAATTGTTGCTAGAGGCTATTTATATTCTAACCTATAGTGACGAGACTATATTCATTGTACAATTACTGAAAGTAATTCTAACCTAAACTTCCGAGACTATCTTCATTTTACAATCACTAACCAAAGTTTAACAATGACGGTTTAGAGGCAGACCTGTTTTGCTCCGACTGGTACAGCTAGCCAGAGGCAAAAGATTTGTTTGGGGAAGGATTTACTTACCTTCTTTGTTTTCAACTCGCTTTTAACTAGTGCATCGTACTTCAAAGTCGTGCGTGAGGATTTAATCTCTAAGATTATTAAAACCAATACTGACAAAATATTTATTTTTAAAAAGAATTCATATAAGTCGGTTTTCTTTTTATGGACAAACGGTTATTGAAAATGAACTATTAGGTATATGGTGAAAATAATATGAAAATTGCTCTAACGATGTTGAAGTGAATAAGATTTAAACTGAATATACAGGGATAAGTAGAACATAACACAGAATCATATTTATTTTATTTAAATTTTAGTCTACCTTCATGCAGAATTTAAGAAAAGACAGTTTGCAAGTTCTGACAATTCTGCTGTCAAGGTATTTAATATGTTGCTAATGAAAACCTGCAACCACACTTTCACATCCACTCCGACGAACAATGCTATCAAAAGCTTTAAGTTAAAAAGCTATAACCGAGGATCAATAATAAACAATTTTTCGTATGGGTTTTATCGAAATGTTCAATTTAAATTTTTGAACTTTTATTATATATAACCATACGCATTTAGACGCATTTGGAATACACTTAATTCCACGATTTTGACCCCATAGGTGGCCTAGTGCTTAGAGAGCCGGCTTCAAATGACGGAGGTTTTAAAGCCCAAATAAGTCCTACCAAATTTATAATTACTATTTTTATGAAATGACAGCGTTTTCAATACTTTTATTGAATCTAGACGATCACGTTTTATTGATCTCGAACAATTTACATATCATGCTATATGATTGCGGCATGAAACACCAAATGTTAGACATCATTATCAACCTTCACACTACTGACATTGTAGCAATAAATCTGAACAATTGCTAAATTTACGCTAAAAATCAAAATCTCACAACCACACTCATTAAACTATCGAAAAGCATTTAATAGTTCCTTCATGACGTACAGTTTCTCCTGAAAGACAAATCTGTATTAATGTATTGACCCATAATAATAATAAGCATCGAGCGAATCATATCTTTTGCAAATTGACATCTAATAGTTGAATCTGCGACTGTGGCAATGATTATAATGTTGCTATGACTCTGAAACTGAGTAACAAAATGAGCGGTAAAACAACAAATTTTGTAAAATTCAACAAATAATTTATTCAGAACAAAAGTGAAATTAATCCGAAATATTCCTAAATGATCTATCATAATTCAAATATATATTGTTTCAATTGAATTCAAGCTGTGTTCCAAACAATTTCCAATATTGAGAGGGTTCATGTGCATGTAGTCTAAAACGTACTAATGTGTCAATGGCCTGGAATGTGGTAATTTGTTAACAGTCTTTTGAAGTATAAAAATATAAATGCAAGTATTTCTATGACCGAGTTCACTATAATTTCAAATTAATGTTTTAGTCTAAGAATATTATTAAGCACTTTGTACTTTCAGTGACTACCATTTTTAATGATGTGATGTGATGTGATTTAGATTTTTAACGTAGCTTTTACAATTTTTCAGTCATATCGCTACGATGTCTGCAGTGTGGCAGTTTATAGTTGTCTATCACTGGGGCATCATGCCACAGACATGTAGCATTATGTCCCACACAGTCACATTATCCTAACACCAGGCCGGCCAGTCCTAACACTAACCTCTTAATGCTGAGCGTCAAGCAAGGCAGCTGACAGTACCATTTTTGTAAGTCTTTGGTATGACTCGACTGGGGATTGAACCCACGACGTCGCGCATCCGAGGCGGACGCTCTAACCACTAGGCCACAGGAGTGATAGCCATTTTTAATGAATAAATTCACCCAAAATTAAAATCTTAACACCACAGTAATACTGATTCCAGTTCTTATGTTAAGGCAAGAATTAATAATTATATTGTAAATAAATACTCAATCTTCTTAATATAAAATTTATTTAATGAACAATTTAAGGTCAGAATCCAGACCGTATCTTTAATTCAAACAGAAGTAAACATGTTTACCATTAATCATGATCTGTATACTTAACGTCCAACGACAGTGATTATTAGCTGCGTATTTTATTGTTTGGAAAATAAATGTCATCTGATATGTACACCATTAACTTGATTATGCGCAAAGATCAATTACAAACTACAGATATTAGTAACATGTAATTTTCTACAAAATCTGTACAGATCTAAAATAGAAGAGGATAAACAAACACTCAGGTTTATTTTAGTTTAATCTCAGGCCACATTTAGATAGTATATAAGGAAATACATAGTTTTTAAGTTGTGAAAATTATGCTTTCAATGTATTGAATATCTGGCAATGCAAATAGGAAACTTCCATATTTAATTCTTAGAAAAAAAAAACAATGGTAGACACTTATTATTCATTTCCATCGATTCATTCTTCAGTTTCAAATATCGGGATCTCCTAGGGGGAATGTTCTAAGTGTGGCAAGTTAAGTACAATAGTGTGATTTTAGCATCTAACGGACCCGCTTGATCGATCAACCAGTGGGGAGGTAAAAGCCGAACTGGATGATAAGACTGGTCGTAAATAACGGTCTAATTGCTAAAGGCTATTTATAGTCTAACCTAGTAGAACTAGACCAGGTACATTGTACCATTGCTAAAGGCTATTTATATTCTAACCTAGAATGACAAGACTATATTCTGGTACAGTTTCTAAAGGCTACGTATAGTTTAATCTAGAAAGACAAGACTATGTACATTGTACAATTGCTAAAGGCCTTTTCTGTTCTAACATAGAATGACGAGACGATGTGCATTGTACGGTTGGAGCCCATACAAAAAATCTGAATGGGTCAGAGATAGGTCTATAAGGAGTTATGACAGGCACACCCAGGCAGGGTTGAAAGATTGACTGGCTCACCCACGCAGAGTCGAAAGATTGACAGGCACACCCAGGCAGGGTCGAAAGATGGGTTTGTGGAGCAACTGGCTTAATTAGCTTGTTTTCAACTCACATTTAACAACTCACATTTAACGAGTGTATCATACACTAAAGACTCATATTTAACAAGTGTATCATACACTAAAGACTCACATTTAACAAGTGTATCGTACACTAAAGACTCACATTTAACAAGTGTATCGTACACTAAAGTACACCAAACGGAAGCCTGTCTGAGCCACGTTGAAATCATTTTTTTATCTCGTAATTACGATTTACTATCTCGTAATTACAAGTTAGCTATTGCGTAATTACGACCTACAATCATATAATTACGACTTACTATCTCGTAATTAGGCTTATAGTTACTATCTCGTAATTACGACTTACTATTTCTTACTTACGAGTTAGTTATCTCGTAATTATGAATTACTATCTCGTAATTACGACTTACAATACATAATATATCCTTGTTGCAAACAGATATTCCGTGACAAATATTTTATGCTTTAGTGATTGTTTTTGAAATTTTATGTTTCAAATTCATTTTGTCTTTCTAGTTCACTTTATGAAATTTTGAGCTTGAAGTTCATTTATTGGATGCTGTTTATGATAAGATCATGAAACATTATACATTATAATTACACGCTTCTCTGTTAGAAGATTACCTTTATCATCAAAGGTCTCTGTGACCTTCATTTTACGCTTGAATGATGTGCTAATTATTTATATCTTTCTTATGAATACAGTATTGCATTAATTTTTGATTATTATTGCCATTCAGCATGCACCAGACTCTTACATTCTTCACTGCTAGAAATATCATGACAGATTTTATGTTTTTGAGTTGGTATTGAATACGGTCAGGTGTTCAATTCAAATGATTATTTTGCTAGTTCTTTTATTAAATTATCAATGTCCTAGAGTTTTGTAGTGACAGTAAGCTCAAGAAAGAGTTCATTCTTCATTTTGTTTAATATTTATTTTCATCTCAGTTCTTTATATCCCTCAAGCCTCTTAGATACACAGCTTATCTCAGACATTAGGACAATTATGTGCAAGAACATGAAGAAATACATTCTAAATGCATTTGTACTATTTACACATATACTGTTCGGAATGATTCTACAGTAATCGTGGATTCTGTCAGAACATGAGATTTTGGTTGAAAGTTTAAAATTTTGATAACATGTAATTGTAATAGTTGTCGCAATGATGACGCACTGAGAATATTTCTTTTAGAGGATGAATGAGAAAATGAAAGATGTTTGAATCATATTGTCATTTGTTATAATTTTTATACATGGACATACCTTGGATACGTGTTATTTTGTTCAAAAAGTGCTTTGATAGTGATTGTAACGCAATGTTAAATACCATTGTTTTAAATTACTGTTGACAAGTCTTGATGTTTGAAGTGTCAAGGTAACATGAAAATGTGAATCAAACATCATGGTTAGGCCACTTTGAAACATTTGCTTGTACCAACACATCAAAATCCGGGAGAAAGTAATGCACAAAGTGCTTTTTTTTAAACAAGGTGATAATTGCTTCAAGCTGTACTATCAAACACTTGATGCAAAAGAAAGACGAGAACACATACACACTGATCTCTCAGTTGTTCGTAAAAACACCCAAAAATACCACTTTTCCAAAAAGTGGGAAGAGAATATATAGATTATCATGTCTGTTTGTCAACCCATAGACGTTGTGTATCCACAAAAATACTTCAATTTACTGCTGTGTTGTCAGTTGTCGTGTTTTGTTTAAAACTTAAACTTGATTTACCCATGGATAGAGGCAGAAGACGATTGATTTGATGAATGATTGGTTAAAGGTCAAATTAGATATAAAAGGAGAGGTCAAATTTTCATGGCCCAATCATGTGAACCTTTATAACAACACTATGCCTTTACAGTTGTAAATTCTATTGATTCAAATGCAGAGAGGTGAAAGGTCAATGCCACTGGAATGTACATTGCAAAATTTGTTGTTTCTGCTCGACAAGTCAAGATATCCTCTATTCAAGTTTCCTAAGATTTAATATATCGTCTACACATTGGCAGAGGCATATCCTCATAAAAACATATGGCACAAAGGTTAAAGGTCGAATTCACTGGAACTAAAATGTATTGTGGAATCAACATGAGGAAACCACTTTCTTAAATTTTAACAAAATTTTCAGCAGCCATATGGTAACTTTACCTTTATGAAAGGGTCAATGTTATTGGGCTTGGTTTCCGCATAATTTAACTTACCTGGACCCAATTTTCATTAAAGTAGCGAGAATCCCAATCAAATCTTCTGGAAGACAGGTTGAACATTGATCCTACTGAAATCGCATTTTTTTTTTCTCTTTGAAAATCAACAGACATGCACACACATACACATGCTCCAGTTGAACATCATGAACAGCTTTTCATTTCAGGGAGGGTCAAATTAAAAAATCTGAAAGTGATTACAGTTGAGATTTTGACTTTGGTCAACCATAAAGGTATCAGGTTAAATAATAAAATGTAGAGGTCATTTAGATTTGTAAAAAGAAATCATTTGAAATACAGATGTATGACAATTCCGTATTTACTAATACTACAGCTACTACTAATATTACTGCTACTATTACTAATAATAAGAATTTTATGTATATCTATATTACGTTTATTCTTTTCATTATATTAGTTGTTGTAATGGTCATTAGTTAATGATATTGTTAATGCTAATATCCTATAACGGGTTTGTACTGTAAAAGGAGTCATGTATCAAATGCGTAAATTGATTCATTCATACGTTCCAACGTTAAATCAAAATATAAGTACGTACAAATATCAGGTGATCCGTCAAGCACACGGGTTCTAGTAAAAGGCCGAAATGTCCTAATTTCCTGATTAGCCGGTGTAAATCAGCTGATCTATTACTTGTAAAGTAATTTCCAAATACCAAAATGATTCATTCTGAGCCTCGTATTGCATTTGTATCTACAGTGACTGTTAGCATTCTATATTAGAGAATTGTTACTTAAAATTAGACATCCTTAATATTATTGTCAGTCTTGGAAGAGTTTTGCATTGAGAGGAATTTATTTATTTAATTTAATCATTTGTTCGAATTATAGTGCTGCAACCATTCATATATAGACTATTTGGATATATCACAGCTGAACTAAAGTTTTGTGATATTCATTTTACAACATTCATTTATAGATTATTTGGATATATCAGAGCTGTACTGAAGTACTGTGATATTCATTTAAAGTCTACTTGCATATATAGATGTAATGGGATTATTGAGAATTAATTGAAGAATCTGTTGGAAATATATCATAGTAATTTCTTCTGCATGGCTGAAAAATCGGTACATTACTGATCATGATTCGGTGTACCTTTGTAACTTATTCGGCTTACTCTATTATAAATTAGTATGTGAATTAAAGTTTATGTGATCACTTGAGATTCATGGACCTAAATACAAGCACATAGTAACAAAACCTACTCAATGTCATATTCAATTGCAATGACGAAATTTCCAATGAAAGTGTAGCGAAAAATTAATCTCCAGAAGTCTGTATAAGTATGTGAAATTTTTACATTAATTCCTAAGCAATCAAATGACCACCATACCTGTAAAAAATTAGGGCTTCATTTTCTCGACACTTATAAGTCTTCTACTGCAGCATATGGAATGTGAGGTGCTTGGACCTCCGCTTAAATCATCGGGAGGGGCATGATATCACGCGTAGTGAAAGATAGAACTTTGGGATTGATAAATTTAAAACGCAGCTATAGTTTCTTTCATTTTATGCACTTATGGTTGTTCTCAGGGTGAGTAGTATTTGTCTAACAATTTGTTTGTGCCACCTCTAAAAGTATCTACACGTACGCAATTTATATATGAGATAACTT